TTTTGCGCTTTCTTATGTTATTGATCTCCAGTTTTATTGCACTATGGTCTGACAATATGTGGGGGGTAACTTCAATTCTTTTGCATTCACTTAAACATGTGCTATGAGCATGTGGTGTATTTTGGAGAATGACCGATGTGCAGCCGAAAAGAATGTATATTCTGAGTTTATGATGTGGAACACTATGTAAACATCTCTGAAGTCCATTTGTTCAATAGCTTGGTTCAGTTCTAGAATTTCATTGTTGATTTTTTGTCTAGATGATCTGTCTATTTGTGATAGAGGAGTATTGAGTTCCCCCGGTACTATTGTACTAGTGCTTATTTGGTTTTTCATGTCCACTAATATTTGTTTTGTATGTTGGGGTCATTTGCATTTGGTGCATATATATTTATGATTGTCATCTCTTCCTCTTGGATTGTTTGCTTCAGTCACTACAAGGATGTAGTGACCATCTTTGTCTCTCTTAATTAGTTTTGGTTTGAAATCTATTTTGTCTGCAAATAAGATTGCTATTACTGCTTTTTTCTGGATTCCTGTCACATGGAAACCTGGTTTCCATCCTTTTACTTTCAGTCTATGAATTTCTTTTTGAGTTAGGTTTGTTTCTTGTATACAGCATATTGTTGGATTTTGCTTCTTGACCCATTCTGCCAGTCTATTTCTTTTGATTGGTGAATTGAGACCATTAAGGTTGATGTGTATAATTTATGGATATTGTCTCATCCTTGTCATGATATTTTACTGTTGTTGCCTCTTTTTTTATTTTCCCCCCTTTCCCTTTAGTTTCTTGCCTTGTCTGGTGGCTTCACTCTGTTGTGCCTCATGGAATTGTGATCTTCATTGTCTTTTTCTAGGATATTTTAGAATTGGAGTGCTGGTTTGGTGTTCATGAAATTTCTCAGGTGTTCTTTGTCATGGAATTATCTAATTTCCTCATCAATTTTGAAAGATAATTTTACAGGATACAAAAGTCTAGGTTGGAAGTAATTTTCTTTTAGGGCTTGAAATACTTCACGCCAGACTCTGCTTGACTTGAGGGTTTGTGTTGAGAAGCCTGCTGTGATTCTGATGGGCTTTCCTTTGTAGGTGATTTGTTTCTATTTTCTAACTGCTTGTTTCAATTTGTTTTTCTGTTGTGTTTATGGGATCTTGGCTATTATATGTCTAGGTGTAGATTTTTTTATTGTGGCTACTTGGAGTTCTATATGCCTCACTTATCTGTATGCCCAATTCTCTATGTCTGGGAAGTTTTCTATTATTACTTCTGTGAACAGTTTTTTTATGTCATTTGTTCTTTCTCCTGAATTTTCATGGACTCCTATCAGTCTTATGTTATTCTTTTTCACATCATTTAGCAGCTGCTGACTTGATTTCTCATGGTCCCTTACTATTTTTAAGAAATCTTTGTTTTCATGGTCATTAAACTCAATCCTGTCTTCTATATCTGATATTCTATATTCACATTCCCTAAATCTGCTGTGAAGATTTTTAATGGAGTTTTTAATCTCCTGGATATCTGCTTGAATCTGTTTCATGGATTTCATTTCTTTCTTATGGTGGGCCATCATGGTTCCCATTTCTTTCTTATGCTGGGCAATCATGGCTTCCAGCATGGTTCTGAGCTTGTCTATTTTTTATCTGTTTCTTTTCTAGAGCCTCTAATCATGTCTTTCACTCTGCTCACCATCTCTGTAGTTATCTGGGAAATTACTTCTGTTTTGAATTTTTTTAGAGCCTCATTCATCTGTTTTGTTACTTCCTGTGCTATCAGTTCAGGGTGTCCAGGTGGTTGATTATCAGAGTTTTCCACATCATTTCCTCCAGAATTTGCTTTTTGTGGGGTGGAAGTCTGAATTTGTGCCTTGCTTAAATGTCTTCTCATTTTTGTTTTTGGTACTGTCCTTGGTTTAATTCCTGAGTTGATACTTCGAAATTGCTTATTGTAAGCATCTTTGTTGCTTGTATTTAGAACACTTATGGAATGATTGCTTCTCATTGGTGTCTTCCAGACATATCTGGTCTTTAGGTTTTGAGTCTCTAATGACTCTGAGGCTATCTCATTTTCATTATATCAGAAAGGAGAACTGATTAGATCAATCACAACACCTTAGCCCAAGTGATACAATTAGCAACACCATAGCATCAAGCACAGCTTAGAAAATGAGAATTTGTAGTAGTTATTAATCTATCACCTTTAACTGTGTGAATTGAAATGGAGGACCAACCCAACATATGTTTAAAGTGAATAACCTCTTCAATATAGCAACTTTACCCTTTGGGATGGGGAGTTAGAAGGAGTTGGGGAGGGTGGGATTGATAGGTAGAAGGATAAGGGAAGGTTAGCAGTGATGCCAGAGGACACAGGAAGATTACACAAACTCTAAGAAACTGCTGAAGACAAGAGGAAAAGACAGAATGAAAGAACAAAGATAAGAACAGAACAACATAACTGCAATAGGGAGGCTAGAAACTGTATTTACTTTCCCTTAAAACTAGTGACAATTGAGAGAAGGAAAAAGAGAAGAAAAGAAAACTAAAGAAGAAATCTTAATTAGGACCAGAACAGGAACAAAGAGGTAGATGAAGAACAATGTGGGATAGTGGGGGGGGAGGGGGAGAAAGAAAAAAGAAAAGAAAGAGAAAATGAAGAGAAAAATAAAAAATGTAATAGAGTAGAAAAAGAAAAAAAATAAAATTTAAAATTTAAAATAAGAGCAAAAAAATAATAAATTTGCAAATAGCAAATAAAAAAGAAAAATGAAGGGCCTCCTTCAGGGTATTTCTCTGCTGTCATAATAGACAATGTGGGCAGCAGTGTGCCAATATAAGTCAATGAGTCTCAGCAAGCCAGTAGTAAACCCATGAGATTCAGGCAGATTTCTAGCTTCAAGTCCCAAGATGAGCTCCCTGTCCTACCACAGGGTTGAATTCTTCAAGGTTCTACTGCAGGTTCCAACTACCCTTCCCCTGAAGATAGTTCAGATTCAGATGGGAGGTGATGATCCCTCCAACTTACTGGTGTGGCTTTATTGCAGAGATTCTCTTCACATTTCCAGTGAGCTTCGGTTTTCATCAAGGAGCCTGAGAGAGGCCCTCTTTCTGTTGTTCACTTCTCCTCTATCTTTTGGAGCTCAGGACAATGGCCTTTATAACCCCTGTACCTCAGTAGTGTGGAACCAGGTAGCAGCAAAGCCAGGAGGCCAGAGGTGGGTGGGGGTCTGCCGGCACCTACTTGGCTAAGCGAGGGCAGGATGGAGCGGGCTCCACACTGCAGACGAGGTCTTAAATTTTGTCTCATTGATAAATGTACTTTTGGTTTTTAATTTGAGTTGACGTTTTTGTTTAATTGGTGTGCTTAAAACAAATTCTTGAATTGTAAATATAAGGTTAACTTGTTCTCCTCTCTGCTCTCCATTGATAAGAATGCTAATTCAAGATTATTTAGAAGTCTATAGGCAGCCAGTCAAATTTAAGCTGTAACAATCTGAGAACAGAAAAAAAGTAACACTTTAAAATCCAAGCAGCTACACCCCAGTAAATGAGATGGAGGAAAATATTATAAAGACTATAAGTACAAGAAATACACTTTTGATATGAAATAATATTTTAAAATAAAAAGTTTTGTCCTGTAAAAAGATAAAAGAGAGATGATGGCAAGACTGGAAAGCTTACAAATGTCAAAAGAAAACATGCAGAAGTGATTTATCAAAGAAAATACATATGTTTGGTTCCTGGTTTGGTGAAAGCCCATGCTGTTCCTTCCCGAAGCTCCTTGTTGCTCAAAGGACTCAAGAATATGTATGGTTGCTTATTAATTTAATGGAGCTTATATTGTTTCTAAATCAAAAATGCTTGAGAAAATGATTCATGTCACAACAGAATAGATATGAGAAAAAAACATCAAAACCTACCCCATAGAAAGTATGTTTAAATAAACTTTTTAAAAGACTATATGGGGGACTATAGAGTAAATATGACCCCTCCTAGAGGTTGAAAATTCTTTATGAAGTTGATTGGCCCTCCCTTGATGTGGAGTGGTAAGCAAAAGGAACCACTGATGGGGAAAATTGGGCAGGTAGGTACATAGGATGATAACCCTAGGGAGATAACTGGAGGTGGCCAATGACCAGGGTGTCTACTTCCTTTAATCTTGAGGCTGATGAGAATCAGCACATGGTAAATGCTGCCTTGGTGGGACAGGAACAGAAAGACATCAAGCAAAAACTACAAAAGTTAGAAAGTTTTGTTAATATGGATGCTACTCAGCTCATAGAAGTGGCCACTGAGGTGTATGTTAATCATGATCAGGAAGTAAACCAGGAGGCTAACTGGAGACTTTAAGAAAAGGCAATCTGCTGGTGGAAGCACTTTCAGAGAAAAGGGTAGAGGACATAAAAGAATGAGGACATGAAAGGAAACAAGGTAAAGATCAGCCTGGACAAAAACCCAGGAACCATCAGAAACTAGCACGGAATCAGTGTTTAAGATGTAGAAAGTTTGGGGATTGGAAGGATGAATATCTAGAAAAAGATAAGAAACTTGAGGGAGAGTACAAGATAGAGGACCCCTCCACAAAAGGGCACTACCAGAGGGAGCAAGGTGCTGATCTAATTGGGCTTTCAGGAGCCAAAGCTTATGAGGACAAGGTCAGATTGGGCTCCATCTCTTTGGGCCTCCAAGAGCCTATGGTCATGATGACTGTAAGAGACTGATTGATGCACTTTATGGTAGAGAGTGGAGCTGAACATTCTGTTGTGATATATTCCATTGGGCCATTGTCCAAAAACCCATATGATTATTGTTAGAGTCACTGAAGTTCCATAGAAGAGGCCATTTTTTCAGGCCAAGAGGTGTGTTATAGGGAGAAGGGAGTACCAACATGAGTTCCTATACCTTCCAAACTACCCAATACCCTTAGTGGGAATAGATTTACTTCATAAGTTATAAGCCCAAATTGCTTTTGGGCCACAAGTAAAAATGACTTTAAATCTGCCCTACCTGGAGGCTATAGTGTTAACCCTCACTGTCCCACAGGCTGAGGAATAAAGACTGTACTCTGACAAGCTACCCTAGCCAAGAAATGAACTGTATGGATTGACAGTTCCCAGAGTATGTGCTGAAGATAACCCACCTGAACTAGCTGTAAATCAAGCTCCAGTAGCACTGGAACTAAGACCAGGGGTAACTCCTATGTGAATTTGCCAATATCTCCTACCCTGGAAAGCTATACAAGGCATCCAGGGACACTTGAAGAGACTTATGGAAAATAGAATCCTGGTCAAATGCTAGTTTTCTTGGAACACCCCACTTTTTCTGGCATGTAAACCATGGTCTAATAAATATAGCCCAGAACAAGATTTTTGTGCTGTAAATTTTTGTACTGAAACCATACACCCAACTGTGCCAAACCCATATGCACTAGTGGAACTCATCCCAGCAAGTGCTGCCTGGTTCACTTGCCTGGACTTGAAAGACACCTTTTTGTGTCTCTACTTGGCACCAATCAATCAACCCATATTTGCATTTCAATGGGAGGACAGTTACTGGCATAAAATAATAGCTCAGTTAGACTAGGCTTCCCCAGGGGTTTAAGAAGTCCCCTGTGGTCTTCAGGGAAGAATTGGCCACTGATTTCAAGGCCTTTTATAAACTAGGAAGTGACTGTGTTTTATTACAATAGGTAGATGATCTTTTTGCAGGCCCCTCTTGTGAGGACTGTCTCCAAGGAACCAGATATCTTCTTCACTTGCTCTGGAAGGCCAGATATAAGATGTCTAAGAAAAAAAGGCCAAATTTCCCAACAAAAAGTTAAATATCAGCATTTTATAATAACAAAAGGGGAACATAACTGGGACCTGAGTGAAAACAAGCTGTCTGTGCCCTCCCAAACCTGACTACAAGATGCCAGATAAGAGAGGGGCAGCAGATTTCTTCCAGGTCTGCATTCCTAACTTCCCACTCATGGCTAAACCTTTATATGACACTACCAAAGAGGGGTAAAAAGATCCCTTTCTCTGGGAAGCTAAATAGGAGAGGGCATTCAAATAGTCAAAGAAACCTTAAACTAATCTCCAGCCCTAGGGCTGCCAGACATAACTAAGCCTTGTTTCCTGTACATCTACAATGAAAGGGAATGGTCATAGGGGTCCTGACATAGATTATAGGATCCTGGCACTGTCCAGTGGTGTACTTGTCAAAACAAATAGAGGCTGTGCCCTTGGGGTGGCCTCCATGCTTTAAAATCCTTGCTGCTGCTCCCCTGCTGACATAGGAAGGTGACAAGCTGACTCTGGAACAGCAATTTACTGAGTGCCACATTCGATTATAACCTTAATGGACCAGAGGGGCACCACTGACTATCAAACTCAAGGATGACCCGGTATCAGGAGTTTCTATGTGAAAATCCCTGCATAACCCTAGAAATTGTAAATACCCTTAACCCAGCTACTCTGCTTCCAGTCGAACTGGGTACTCCCCTTCTTAACTGTTCAGATACTATTGATAAAATATTCTTGAGCTGGGGAGGTCTCACAGATCATCCCCTTAGAGACCAAAATGCTGAATACTTCACAGATAGGAGTAATTTTATACTGGGAAGGACCTGGGCAGGGTATTGAATTGTGACATTGTACTCTGTGATAGATTCTTAACCTTTGCCTACTGGGACTTCAGCCCAAAATACAGAACTGATAGCCTTGACATGGGCTCTTCTACTGGAAAAGGACAAAGTGACTAACATCTACATTGACTCTAAATATGCATATACTACATTACTTGTCCACAGAGCCATGTATAAAGAAAGGGGGCTCCTAATGGCTGGAGAAAAAAAATAGAGAGAGGAGATTTTACAGCTCCTAGATGTTGTGTGGTCTTCCAAGAAGGTAGCCATTATGCACTGCAGGGGGTACCAAAAGACTAGAAGACTGAAAGCTAGAGGAAATTAAAAAGAAGACTGAGAAGCAATGTGAACTACTGTGACAGCCCCACAAAAGGGAGCCCTTGCTATGCTGCTCATCCCAAAACCTTCCTTTTGGAGACCCCAAATTATTCATCAAAAGAAAGACTGGTTTGCCCAGGAAACTGGAGAATATGTAAAAGGGGGTTGGTGGAAATTCTCTAGCGAAGAATTGGCTATCCCTGAGATGTTGGCCCCCAGGTTTGTAAGACAAGTCCTTTAAGTGACACATATGGGTAAAACAGCACTGGAGACCATGCTGAGCTGTCACTGCTATGTGCCGCAGCTCACAGTCATCATCCAAGCAGTCTGTGAATAAAGCTTGATCTATGTGCAGAACAATCTGAGAAAAGGGCCCAGCCAGCCCTCAGGAATCCAGGAGGTAGGTGCTGTTACTTGTGAAAATTTGGATGTAGATTTCACTGAACTGCCTCAAGCAGGAGGCTACCAACACTTGTTATTTGTTTCCACTTTCTCATGGTGAGTGGAGGCCTTCCCTACCTGGACAGAAAAACCAGAAGTAACCAAGGTACTGCTAAAAGACGTCTTCCCAAGATTGAAGCTGCTCTTAACCCTGAGGCCAAACAATGGACCAGCATTTGCAGCTGAGATAGATTGAATTACACAAAGGTTAAAAATAAATTGAAAACTGCACATGGATTATTAACCACAGAGCTCAGAAAAGGAATGCATGAACTGGACACTTAAACAATTACTAAAACAATTATTGCCAAGAAGCCTATTTGTGGTGGGATTAAATCCTGCCCATGATCCTCTTCCAAGTTCAGTACACAAACAAATTAGATAATCCTTTTATGATATTTTATTTGGCCAGCTTACCCCCCCCCATATTGTAGGTCAAATTAAGGGTAATTTTTGTAAACTAGGAAAATGTTGACCTTGTGGAAATAAATACAGGGTTTAAAATTGGCCATACAAGATATTCATAGCTCAGTACAAAAAAAAAATGTCCATAAGCTTAACAGGCCCTGTATACTCATTCAAACCTGGAGACTTTGGGTCAAAAAATAAAATAATAAAATCCAACTCTAGGGCCTATACTGTAATCCTGTCCGCCCCACTGGTGTTAAAGTTGGAAGAATTGCATCTTAGATCTACCACAGTCTGCTAAAGCCAGTTGCCCAAGACAAGTAGACCAACCAGCAGGATCCAGGCCACCTGAACCAGCTGATCCTTCAATGACAGCAGCACAGCACTGAAAATGACAGCCCTGCTCTAGTCTCCCTAGAATCTGACTGGTCTAGGCACAGCAGATGCCTGAGGAAACAACAGCCCTGCTCTGGTCACTCTGCAAGCTGACCAGTCTATGCACGGCCAAAGGTTAAGGAAAAACATAAAGTCACAATAACAACATAAGTTTCATATCTTTGTTGTTATAATTCTCCCTTGCTTCTTAGCACTATTTGTCAAAAACATTCAGTCTGCCATAGAGACTCTGATAGACAGGGACACCACCACTCAACTGATGGCCTTAACCAAGTAACTACCTCTGCTCAGTAGGTTCGCACTGAGCACCCCCTCATGACAAAATTGATGATAATAATAATGATAAAGATGATGCTCTCTATTAAAACTTGTTATAGAAAGCATCAAGGGGTGGGGGACAAGTCCTTCCCAGCCTTGGGAAGTCTTCACCCATCCCCCCTCACCATGTCCCATGTGGCTGTTCTGGTACAGATAAAATTAACAATTAGGACCTGTAAGCAAAGTTTATGATACTATAGTCTCATATGATTCATAAGACACTGTCTTCTTTCAGAGCAAAGTAATAAAATTGTCTGCCCTTATCCTGTTCTGGTAAACCCACCTGCTACATCACTAGAAAACCACCCCCTTTGACAAAATGTATGAAAGCTGGAGCTTATCTTTGTTCAGTGTTCTTCCTTTGGATAGGAGTCTGTTGAACTGGTGTACACATTTAACCTGAAATAAATCCTGCTAAATATCATTGGTCACTCCTGTCTATTGGAATTCTGCAACAGTAATGCACAGAAGGTGAAATTAAGATGGTGATTTTCATCAAATTTCATAGAGAGGAGTGTTAAATAGGGTTAAATATTCTAGAGCGTAACTTCTCTGCTACTCTATACCCCAAAGACATTACTGCAAGCTTGGAACCAACTTTCTTTGCCAGAATCACAACTTTCCTTTTATTGCCAGAAAGAAAATTGCTTTCCACTTTCTTAAAACACCAAACATGAGGGTGGCCAAATCATTTCATTTGATTCTGTTTTTTCATTATGTCAAATGAAGAATCCTTTAATAAAAAATGTGTAAAAATCTGAAATAAAGCCAGCATGATAGTTTCAGAGCAAGTAGAATGTAATTATATTCTAAGACAAAAACTTATTTTTCAACTACAAAATCAGAAAAAGAATACTGACATATTTTGCTAACAAAGTAGCTATTTAGGTTTTAATAAGGATAAATCCTAGAGAAAATGAATTTGGGAAAATACTTTCATGCAAAAAACAAAATCTCAATACCTACACAAAATAAATTAATTAAATGTTCCCTAAACAATGAAGAACACAGAGAAAATTCACAAAATTTTTCACAAAAAATATTTACATGATTTTTAACAATTCAGTCTTAGTTTAAAATAAAGAAGTTAAAATTAAAGAAGCATTAAGATATAATGTTATACTTATTAAAACAAAAAACTGACACCTAGTTTTGATGTGATGAAACTAAAATATTTTCCTTCAATTGTGAAACTATACAGTTGTATATCTGGCTATTCTGAATTCAAACTGATAATTTTTAGTATATGTGCTGCCAAAGCGAGCACCAAACTTAAAATTTTTGAACTATTCATAAACTAATAGGAAAATAATAGCTATTCAGGCAAAGGTAGTCATTACAGTATTATCTAGAACAGTTTTTTAAAATATGAGTAAAAGAGTGATAGGAAATGTAAAGTAAATCACAATACAATATCTAACTGAATACCAGGCAGTTCCTGGTAATAATTATGGAATCATTAAAAATAGTTCATATAGGAATCTTAATGAAGAAACATAAAAAATAAATAAACAAATTTCAACACAATGAGTAAATTGCTGAACAGAAGATCATGTTCATTAAAAACTATGTTATAAATTACCTCTCTAGAGATTGCTTCCTAGAGATGGTCATCACAAAAGGTAAAGATCTCCTATTTCAATGGTTCCTTTGTTTCAATCTTGACAATGAGGACTCATGATTTTTTTCTAATTATCAAGAAGCTGGTTGCCTTATCCACTTATATTAGCAAACACAGCCATTTCTATGTTAGATTTTTTTCATTTATTTGTTTATTATTCTACTGAGGATTGAATCCAGAGATGTCAAACTGAAAATCTTCTCCAGTTCCAGCTCCGTTTTCATTTTTTATTTTGAGACAGATTCTCACTAAGTTAGCTATCCTGGGCTCAAACTTGGGATCCTTCTGTCTCAGCTACCCAGAGCTGAGATTACCATTTTGGGCCACCACATCTGGCCTTGATTTATTAATCTCATAATGTTCTTGCTCCTAAAATACTCTTCAATGGTTCACAAGTGTCCACACTAATCCTAGGAACACTATAACATATCATGAGACTAGAGCTGGAACCTGATGTGGACGATTACATTCAACCACACAGATTTCTATGATATTCCTCATGTATCTTCAGGTAAGGTGTAACTAACAAGTTACAAATTTTCCCTATTACCATTCTTCTATTTTATTCTAGTTTTATATTCTAACATGTAGCATGTGAACTATAAATGCATTCCTTCTTCAAAATCAAAGCTATGGGTTTTGAACAAGAGCTTATAAAAATGTTACTTCAAAAGTTTACTGGATCACTTTCCCCTTTGAATTCTAGAAAATATGATAGAGTTTGGACTCTAAGTCAATGGAAAGTTTCAGAAAATAAAAGTCCATATATATATTCCTTTAGTAAAATGTCAAATAATATAGTGCATCCTGTTACTTTCTGTTAATTTTAGGGATTAGAAGTCAAGATTTTATTCATATTTTGATTGCAAATTTGGAGGCACACACTTTGTGAACATGATCAAAGTTAACATAACTTGTAAGTGACAAACATTTAACTTAGATTTATATTTCACTATTTTATCTCAGCTAAACAGTGAAGAACAACATCATATAAAGAGTTGAGTTTTAGTGAAGGACAATGTTATTACAGAATGTGTTTCCATGTGTAGCTTTTTGGTAGAATACACTGGATGATTAGTCACTCTGCACAGCAGCACTGACTGACACTATCCACTCTTCTATAATATTCTATTTTAATTATGAACTTGTAGCACTCTTTTGGATAGTCTGAGTCCTTTGTCTTTATTTTAAATGACTTTGTGTATTTCTTTATGAATTATTTATGACATATTTGGACTCTCAGAAATGTTTATATTAAATTTATATCAATCTTTTTTTGTTTTCTTTGTTTTACATTTTAAGTGATAATACCAATACCAGTATTCTCCTATGCCCTTTTATATTTTCTGTTCTTTTTATGAATTCTAAATGTTTGTTATCAATGTTTACTATGTTTGTGAGTATTATGAGGAAATTTTTTGTATATGTCAAATATGAGAATTATTGTATATATCAGTGGCTATTTTTAACACTTTTTGCCTTTTGAAAAAAGGCATACCATATATTTTACACAATTTTTGAAAGAAAATGTTATTAAAAATTATCCAATAAATATAAAAATAAAATATGGATTTCATTTCCATATAATCATTTAATATGTAAAAACAGAATAAGGTAAGGGAACTATACACCAGGCAGTAATTGAAGTAAATCTGAATAAAATATATTCAAAGTTGAATAAAATATAGAAATAAAAATAATTTTTAAAAGTTTACACACACACATAAACATATACCCCACCCTTAAGGAAAGAAACTACATGAAACAGAAATATATAGGCATGATGATAAAGACAGCTCCTACACAAATATGTAGAAATTAGCAGTGAGTCAAGCATGAAATGCAAAACCTGAAGAATGAAAGCTCCAAAGTATCAACAAAAGAAACACAGAAATTCCAAGGACATGTGTGGACTAGCAACAATAAATTGTCTGCTATTCACTCAGGCTATAGCATCTGCCCATGATATTATATATTAGCATATTAAAATTTGAATAAAAATGGCCTAGTTTAGAAAACTTCCCACAAAACTATTGCTTATCAAATTTCAATGCTTATTTTAAAAAACTATGCTCTTAAAAATTAATTTTATTAGTACATTTTAGATGTACATATAAAGATAAGATTCATCATGAGGAATTTGTACCTGTACGTGGTATATCTTGATTCTTTTTTCCCTATCTCCTTCCTCTCCCTTCATATTTTCTTCCTCTCCTATTTACAAAAGCTTTTTTTCCCATTCTTTTCCTTCTATTCTCTTTTCAAAAAAAAAGGAAAAAAAACTTTAAAAAACTGTTTTTCAGAAGTTCCAAGTGTTTGATTTCATATAAACACATGATGAATTTAATAATAGGTATCAATTTACAGTGCTTTTAATTTACCGTATATTTTTTCTATTATATAAAAAACTAAATGAAATAAAATCAATTCAAAAATAATATAATTATTTTATTGGTTGACAGATTTTTGCAAACTGAGGCTTCATTATTCCATAATGTCCAAATACAGAATTGAAAGAGGTTATGCTTTCTTTGCTTAAGATTAAGATTTTTTTTCAAAATCCGTTTAATATTGACATATAAAACCCACTATACCATGCAAATAAAGTAGGACCAACACTAAAGAACAACTGAAATAAGAATTATATGAAACTTTTATCCAAACTACAATTTGTTTAGACTTGCTAAAAAAGGGTTTATTTGTTCTTTAAAGGGTATGATTCATCTAGAATAGTTAGTTATCTTCAAGTGTGGGTTTCAGGACCTCTTATAATCTTATAAATTATCAAGTACATCAAATAGCTTTTGTTTGTGTCAGTGACAGCCATTAATATTTCCCATTTAGAAATTAAACCTAAAAAATTTGTTTATATATTAATTTTTAAAAGTAACAATGATTTAACTATGAATATAGTAACATAAATGATATTTTTATGGGGAAATGGCTGTATGTCAGAAAAAAACACTAGCCAGACTTGGTGTCACAGGCCTGTAAACCTAGCACTCTGAGACACTGAAGCAGAGGATTGTGAATCTGAGCCTAGCCTAATCAATTTAGCAAGACTTTGTCTCAAAATAAAAAATAGAGTGCTGGATGTAGCTCACTACATTACTATTTGTTTTAATGTAAAACAGATTATTGTATTCATTTCTCTGATTAGTCTGCTATGGTATTACACTTCATGCAGATTTCAAAATTCCCAATGATGAATGCTATCATATTGTATACCTAAAATTTACTGATAAACTTAAAGAATTTAAAAAACTCCATTTATTAATAAAGAAAAATAAAAGAATGAATACCTTGTTAATGCTGTTATGAAAATTGTTTTGACCTAACTGCCCTGACAGTGTCTTAAAGATCACCAAAGGTCTTGGAACCATTATGTTTTGATAAAAAATTTGATTATTTACTTTTTTCATACAAAAACCATCCAAATGCTGATCACTCACCTTCCATTCCAGTTACAATGTATTGAACAGGCTTACTAAATATTATACTTTACCTCACAAATTTACATTAATTTTATTGAAAGGATTCATCAGTGATGGTAAGAATAAACAATACCATATTTTCAAAATTATCATTATATCTAAAATGATGACTGTGTGATTTTCTCTTTATAAGCAATTGTCTTTGGAGATAAAAATTCATTTATCTTGGTCTTTTTTTTTTAGGAAGCATTTCAAGTAATGATAATGGTGAAGAGTTTATAAAATGTTCAAATAGTATTTTAACAGTACATTTTAATTGAAAAGATGAATTGATATGTGGAAACTTCTGTAAAATATTCATAAATTTTATTCTAAATATTAACTTAAAATTATCCACAATTGATATAGAAATAGATCTCTTAGCCTCACAAACAAAACTAAAACGACATCCTGAGTACATATTTAAATTCTATGAATACAGTAAAATATTGTTCTCCAATCAACTTTATGGTATTTATTTCTGTCACAAATAGAGCAAAAAATACAAGAGATCAATCTCTTTAATATCATTGTACATCACAAACCCTGGGTTATCTTTTTACTGTATTAATTCAAAACTTACTCATTTATTTTTTGGCCTAAAATTGTTGGTCTTTATATAAACTTGTTTTTTGTTTGTTTGGTTTGTTTTTTTGGAGGAAGTTTTTTTTTTCATTTTTATTAAATTCTTTCATTGGTACATTTTAGGTATACAACATTTACATTTCTCATTGGGAATTGTACCTTTACATAATGCATCTTGGTTCTTATTTTTTCCCCATTCCTAGCCTTCCCTTCATTCCCTCCACCTTTCCCTATTTACAAAGACTTTATTTCCATTTTTTCCATTTCTCATCATTTTTCCTTTCCTTCTTTCCTTTCCCCTGCCCCTCCCACTACCCCTTTGGACCTTTTCTTCCAATTTTACATTATCAATTATTCATTCTAATCATTGGTACATTTCAGGTATACAATATAATGACATTCATCATTGGAAATGTGCAACTTTATATAGTCTCTCTTGGTTCTTATTTTTCACCCTTGTCCAGCCCTCCCTTCAACCCCTCCATTCCTCCTTATTTACAAAGATTTTGTTCCTATTTTTCCATTTTCTCATATTAATCCCATTCCCTTCTATCCTTTCCACTAGCCCTACCACTTCCTTCCCCTTTGCCCCTTTTCTTCCTATTTCACATTACCTATTATACATTTAGTCCTTATTTACACTTTCAGTTTCTCACACCAGAGAAACTATTCAGTATTTATACATGTGTGTCCTATTTATTTCACTTAAGAGTATCGTCTCAATGTGCATCCACTTAGCTATAAATGTCTCTAATTTCTCATTTTTTATGGCTGAGTAGTACTCCATTTTATGAAAAGACCACATTTTCTTTATCCAGTCTCCAGTTGATGGGCATTTGGGCTGTTTCCAAGTTTTGGCTATTACAAACTGTGCTGCTATGAACATGGGTGCACATATATCACTGTGGTATGATTCTTTTAATTCTTTGGGGAAGATCCTCAGCAGTGGAATAGTGGGGTCAAATGGGACTTCCAGTCCTAGTTCTTTGAGGTATCTCCATACTGATTTCCACAGTGGTTGCACCAGTCTACACTCCCACCAGCAGTGGAGCAGGGTTCCTCTTTCTCCACAGCCCCGCCAGCATTTGTTATTGGTGGATTTCATGGTAGCAACCATTCTTTCTGGAGTGAAGTGGCATCTCAGCGTTGTTGTCATTTGCATCTCTCGAATGACCAGGGATGTTGAACATTTTTTCATGTATTTATTTGCTATTTCTACTTCTTTGTCTGAGAAATGTCTGTTCATTTCACATGCTCGTTTTCATATTGGATCTTTAAATTTGGGAGGTCTAATCTTTTTAAGTTCTTTATAGATTCTAGATAGTAGACCTTTGTCTGAGGAAGAGCAGGTGAAGATTTTTTCCCACATTGTGGGTTGTCTCTTCACACTGCTGGTGGTTTCTCTTGCTGTGCAGAAGCCTTTTAATAAGAAGAGATCCCACTTGTTGATTGTTTGTGCTAGTTCACGGGCAACTGAAGTTTTGTTCATAAAATCTTTTCCTACACCAGTGTCTTCAAGGGTTCTACCTAACCTCTGTTCCAACTGGTTCCGAGTTTCTATTTTAATATTTAGATCTTTAATCCATTTTGATTTTAGTTTAGTGCATGGCCTAGTTTAATCTTTGGCAAGTTGAAGCCTAATTTTTCCAGCACCATTTATTAAAGAGGCTATATTTTGGAGGAAGTTTTTGTTTGTTTGTTTTGGTTTGGTTTTTGCTCAACCAAAAAATTGACTGTATACCTTAGAGTGTCTCTGTAGACTTTGTGTTTAGTGTGTTTATAGTAGGACAAAGTACATTTGAAAGTTATAAAAATAGCTCGGCTTGAGTCATAGTAGTTTACTATTTGTCAGCATGAATACAGATGTGACTCTACTCAAGGCCTCTTCCTAAATGGATCATTGTATATAAGACCTCCTCTAATCTACAAACCTTTTTTTTTTTTGGCAGGTTTAGAAACAAATACAAATATAAGTATAAATAATTGCTCTGCCTCTGTGAGTAAATTCATTCTCTTAGGTTTTTCTTGCACATGGGATATTCAGATCCTCCTCATTTCAATCTTTTCTGGAACATACATCTCGACACTAATTGGAAACCTGTGCATTATCTGTGCAGTGAGATGTGACCATCGATTACAAACTCCAATGTACATCCTCCTTGCCAATTTTTCCTTCCTGGAGATGTGTTATATTAACTCTACTGTCCCCAGTATGCTAGCCAACTTTTTCTCTGAGAAAAAAACCATCTCTTTCTCTGGCTGCTTCCTGCAGTTCTACTTCTTCTTCTCCATGGGTACCACTGAGACTTTCTTCTTGTCTGCAATGGCCTTTGACAGGTACCTTGCGATCTGCAGGCCCCTGCACTACACCACCATCATGACTGTTCAGAAATGCTTCAGAATGGGAGCTTGCTGCTGGGTGTGTGGCTTTTTGTGCTTCCTCTTGCCTGTTTACTTAATCTCTCAGCTTCCATTTTGCTGTGACAATAAGATAGATCACTTTCTTTGTGACCCAGGTCCCCTTATAAAACTGTCCTGTTCACCAGCTCCCACCACTGAAATGATCTGTGCCCTGTATAACTCAGTTCTCATTTTCTCCACCTTCCTCTTCATCACGAGCTCCTACACCTTGGTCATCAGAACTGTGCTCAGGGTCCCCTCAGCAGAAGGCCGGAGAAAGACTTTCTCCACATGTGGCTCCCATCTGGCTGTGGTGTCTCTCTTCTATGGCTCCATCATGATTGTCTATGTGAGTCCCACCTCGGGTAATCCAGCAGGCATGCAGAAAATTGTGACTTTGTTCTATTCTGTGTTAACACCACTTGTCAACCCTTTGATCTACAGTCTACGAAATAAGGAGATGAAGGAGGTACTGAAGAAATTGCTCAGGACTGTGAGACAGATCCATGGAAAAAAGTTTTGAAGAATTTATGTTCACAACTGTAATATATGTAGAAAATAAACAATTAAAATGTGATTGTTAATTGTATTAACTGAACTAGAAAAATTTCGAGGGTTAGGGAATGTATTTAATTTCAACAGAATGTTTAAAAGGTTAAACTATTCAATCATCTATTTTTATTAGAGAAAAATTTGTATTAGTAATAAAATTTTTCAAAATAAAACCAAAATAGAAAAATGACAACACCATTCAGGGTTTTAGGATTGTAGTTATTATCTTTTTGTCAGTATTACCTAAACAAGTTGTCCTATATTTACATTGATTTTTAAAACTTTCTGCTGTGAGTTTAAAATTATACATGCTAAATTTCATAGTTATATTTAAATATTTATTTCTATCAATAATAGATATTACAAGATGCATATATTGTCTTATGAAAGTTGACATAATAGTTGTGTACCTTTACATTCCCTCACCAAGGTTTAGTTAAAATATTCTTAATATTTAGGACTAGACTGTTGCCATTACTTTTTTCCAATATCCATTGATCTTTCAGGACTGTCTTTTAGAGAACTCTCTATAGGACGACCCATTCACTGTCTTTTCCACACATGCTATTTGGCCTGTTAAGAGGTAAGGAATTGCTAGATATGCCTTCTTCCAACATTCTAAAAAACACTCATAACTTTAACTCTTAAAGGGGACTTTTTCTCTTCCCACATACAAATCCTCCTCCCATTAACAATCAATCTCCACTCTCTCCTCTTTCTAGTCCCTAACACTACTAACCTATTTTCCATTTCTATGAATTGACCATTCAGGACATTTCATAGGAATGGAATCTTACATTCTATGGCTTGTTGTTACTGACTTCTTTCACTTAACAATATTGCTTATAATGATCATTTTTGTTGCAGCAATCGCTAGTGCTCCACTCTTTATGGTAACTGAATGTCATTCAATTGAATGGCTGTACTACAATTTTTGTGATCCACTCACCTGGTTATGAACATTTAATTGCCTCTATTTTTAAAATATTCTCAGTAATATATGGGCAAGTCTTTCGTGAACATGCTTACACTTCCTAGGATATAACTAGAAATGAAATTACTGGGTTAATTTAGTGTGTAACATTTTACAAAGTGTCCAATAGTTTTTCAAAAGGATTATACTTTATTATCAAAAAGTAATGTATACAATATATTGGAAGGATCTTTCTTGCTCCCTCTATAATATGTGGCACTTGTTAGACTATGAGGGGGCACAGAGGCCCATAATATTCATTACTGCTGCTTAACTACATCAGCCTTTGCCAAACTTAAGGGTTGTATAAAACTTGTGGATTTCAGCCACACCAGGCCATGTGTAGTGGTGAACATGTTAGAAAAATAATATTTATCAGAAAGGATTTTCTTGAGTTCAGAAGGAATAGAATTCCACTTATAGGTTCTTGAATATGTACTGAGATAAAGGTCAGCATCTGAAGTGAAGCTCAGCTGGTCCCAGCATCCAGAAGGAAGCTCCCCCACTGCCATTCCAGGCTCCTAGGGCAGTGAAGCTCAGCCATTCCCAGCACCTGGAAGGAAGCTCCCCACCTCCATCCCAGGCTCCTAGGGCAGAGAAGCTGATCCAGTCCCAGCACCCAGAAGAAAGCTCCCCCGCTGCCATCCCCAGCTCCTAGGGGAGAGAAAGTGACCCAGGTGGGTGCCAGAAGCACCCCCTCCCATGGAAATGAGAAGACACATAAACAAGCCTCAAAAACAGACTTCCAGATCAACTACAGCAACCCCAAAGGA